GTCCCTGACACAGGCCCCCAAGGCATTCGTGGCCCAGGTGGGACTCTCCTCAACCCACTCTGTCGTCTCCCTGTCCTTGCCGGCAGCTCTGGTCACTGAGTAGCCCCAACCCTGCATCTGCCTGGGACCTGGGTCTCCAGGAGGCCATACTGAAGGCCTTACCCAGAAGAAGCAGACGGGATCTCTCCTGGCACCCCACAGCCTGGCCTGGAGTTTGCTCTGCTCCAAGACTGTTCTAGAGCATTGACAATCCCTGGGAGCTGACCGTGAGTGGCAGTGCTGGGACATGGCTGTCCATGCCGCCCTGATGATGCTCAGTGACAGTCTTCAGCAGAGGCACAGACACGGGCACTCTGGTGCCTCGGATCAGGTTAGAATAGGCGAGCATGGCAGGAAAATATGCTCCATCCATGCAGGCTTATTTGTCACAGCCTGAAGCATGGCAACAATACTTAGGTCTGAAGACTTGGGGGGCTGAGGCAGGAGGATTGCCGTGAGTTAGAATCCAACCTGGATTACATAGTGAGACTCTGTTGCAATAGTAATGATAAAAATTATCATTATTTAATCTCATTAATAAATTATTACTTAATCCTAGCACCCTGGAGGCAGAGGCAGGCCAATCTGTGAGTTTGAGGCCAGCCTGGTCTACATGAGAGACCCTGTCTCAAAACAAAAAGGTAACAAAACCCTAAACAACTAAGTGTGGCCATGGTGATACTGTAGCCAAGGCTTGTCTTCAGAGCCCTTCCCATCATGGCGTGACAGGCAGCTACTCATTTCTATATCCGGCAAGAGAAGAAGTAGGTTCAACATGGTCTGTTCAAATATGCAGGGCACTGAACAATACCAAGCCCAAGTGTGCTGGCCCCAACTTCACTACCCACCCGGTGTAGCCCAGAGACTTCATTGCCCCACGACGTGGATGTGGACACTGAGGCTCGCCCGGGCTCACACCCTCAGTCTGTGCCAGGAAGCATCGGGTTTCTGGGAGCTCTGCGCATGCTCTGTAGGCAGGTTAGGGTTGCTATGGAAAGGAGAAGAGACTGCTGACCGCGGCCTCCAGCTTGAGTTTCCTAACCATGAGGTTTTCCTTTTCACTTATTCATTTTGGGCTCAGTCGATGGAACCTGGGTGTCTGCCACCGAGCGCCACTGAGGCTGCACTCCCTAAGCCCTCCCGGCCTCTGCAACCCGACCTCTGCAGTGCCCCTGAGGGGAGCCCTGTTGCCCTTTGTCAACCCGACCTCTGCAGTGCCCCTGAGGGGAGTCCTGTCGCCCTTTGACAGTCAAGTTCTGAATGCTTCTAAAACATTCCATTATTTATTGTTCATTTTGTGCAGGGGTAGGGACTGCTCACGTGTGAGCCATAGGACAGATTGTGGGGTTGGTTCGGTTCCCTCCTTCCACCATGGGGGCCCAGGGATCGAACTCAGGTCACCAGGCTTGGCTGCGGAGCTGTTGATGGGAAACAACGTGCTTTGAGAGCACGGAAACGTCCTGGGATTGCAGAGACTGCAATGCCCCCAGCCACGCCATCTCCGCCAGGCACACCGTCTGCAAACTCTCACCTTGATCCAACGCGGCTGAGGCAGGGGGATTGGGAGTTTCACGTTAACGTGAGATGGAGCCAGTGGGAAACCAGCGTTTTGTGGGGTAGCCTCAACTCACATTCACATTTTAGCTAGAAAGCTGAGGCCCGTCAGACAGCAGACAAGGCTGGACCCAGACAGGGCACCACGGGCTTCCTGAGAAATGTCCTCTCCACCTGGACTTGGGCATCCAGCAGCCAACCTGGCTGTGCGGTGCCAGCAGCAGACGGGGTTTCACCATCGGCACAGGTGTCTGCTGCCTCTGCCGCCAGCCCCACTCTGGCTCACTCCCGTGACCTGGCTGCTGTCACTTGACGCTTGGTAAACATTGTCCCCACAGGGGCAGCTGCTACAGGTTCAAGTCGGGATGGGGCTTGTGCCAGGCCAGCGCCGGCCCCTCCCGCTGTGGCGACAGTGAAAGCAATTGTTGAGGGCAGTTACTCTCCAGTGTCTCTCAGGCAGACCAGTTCCCACAGTGACCCCAGAGCCCAGCTCTCTGCAGACTGAGGCAGGAGAATCACCGAGCTGCAGGCAAGCCTCCTGCCTCAGCAGACAAACAGCTAATTATGCAGAGGTCTGTGTGGTTAGTGTGTCTACAGGACCCAGCTAGGTAGGCACGTTTGGGACATGGGGTCCTATTGTCCTTTCTCTGTGGTCCCCTGGCAGGCCTCCGCCTTAGCGAGGATGGAAGAGCAACAATCCTCACAAGTCACAACACCTGAGCCTGAGGGGTTCCAGCCAGACTGGACAGAGGTGGGGCTGAGGGGAGGCAGGGAGGAAGCCACGCCCAGCGTAGAAGAGAAAGAGGTATGCATGGGGTTTTGAAGGGTGGGTAGAAGTTTGCCAGCAAGAATGAGGCATCCTGGCAGGCAGTGGTGGCCCACACTTTTATCTCAGCACTTGAGGCAGAGGCAGGCAGATCTCTGTGAGTTCAAGATCAGCCTGGTCTACAAAGCCAGTTCTAGGGCAGAATCCAAAGTTACACAGAGAAACCTGTCTCGAAAAAACAAAACAAAATAAAGATGGCAGGCCCTGGAAAGGGCCATGGCCCCACTGGATCTGGGGCCTGTGTTTAGGGCTGGCGGGGCCCCTGTATTACTAGGAACCAGCAGGGCCGCAGGGCCAGCCTTCTGAGCAGCCCCTGCCCTGCTCTTTATTTCGCCTACACAGGGAACAGCTTGTGCCTGGGAGGGGACTCTGGCATTCCTCCGGCAGTCTGGACCGGCAGGAACCCCGCTTCCTGACCCCCACTCCCACCTGGTCCAGTCCTGACCGCAGGGGCCCATGTGCTTGTTCAGGGGAGGGCAGGAGTCCAGCGCTGACCTCTGATCTTGCCATGGGTCAAAGGTGAGAAACACCAGCTCTTCGGGGCCTGCAGCTCCATCCCTGGGGGCTCCTGGGGCCACCTCCCCTTAGTCCCAATTCTGTTCACCCCCCCACGGCTGTCCCCAGCATCTTTGACTGCTGTTCCCTGCGACTGGAACGCCTTTCCTCGGCAAACTCCTCTTCATCCATCCAGACCCCAACGCCAATGTCCTCTCCTTCGAGTAGGACCCTCCAGACACAGCTCCTCCCATGGCTCCACCTTCGCTTTGCCTGGCGGGGACTCTGACCCCATGCAGGCGTCTGAGACTCCACCGCCTTAGTCACTGGGAAAAAGGCTCTGACACCCTGATTGCCTCTGCTGAGCCCCCAGTCCAACTGGCCCCGTGGAGTGGCTCCCGTGAGCCAATGGCTCTGCCTGACCCCACGGGGCTTCTCGGGCAGGGCTTGGAGTCCTTCTTTCCCACCCTGGCTGTTGGGAGCCCTGGACGTTTCCCTGCAGGGGGATGGCTCTCTTTAGGTCCCTCTCCTTCCTCGGGCGGCTTCCTCTCCCACAGTGGCCGCAACTGGCACCACCCGCCCCAGGCTAGTCACCGCTTCCTGCTCAGCTTTTTCTGGGACTTTCCTCAACATCACAAACTGGGCAGAGGGATCAGGGCTGGGACTCAGTGGGAAGAGTGCACACATAAACCACGCCCGCCTGTCAAGACAGGTGGAGGCAGGGGAACCATGAGTTCAGGACCAGCCTGGGCTACACGAGACTGACTCAAAAGCAAACAAAAACAAACAGGTCTGGAGGCCGAGGAGGCGCAGCAGCTGCGGTGGAGCGGGTGCAGAGGTCCTGGGGTTGGAGCAGAGGTCCTGGGGTTGGAGCAGAGGTCCTGGGGTTGGTGCAGAGGTCCTGGGGTTGGTGCAGAGGTCCTGGGGTTGGTGCCTCTCTGCCTCCTCCGGAAGAGGGAGCTGGGACCCTGGAGACTGTGCTCCAGGAGGTAGGGACAAGGTGTCCTGTAACCGGAGCCCAGCAGGGCACCCCAGGGTTCCCTGCTCCGGACAGAATGTGCCCCGGGAGACACAGGGAGACGGCAAGGGTGACCACGACCGTGGGTAGATTCCTGACCGGCCGCCCGGCCGGGCCAGCTGCCAACACGCAGAACAAGTGTCTGCGCCTGCGTGCCTGTCACCCAGGGCGGCAGAGAGAAGGGGGGACCTGGAGCTTGCACCAGGGAGCAGGTGCAGGGAGGGGACCCCAGAGTCCTGCAGGTAGGGCCTTGAGAAGGGAAAGCCGAGACAGTCCTGGCAGGGGGGCGGGGCCTGAAGCAGCGCGGCCCCGCTCCTCCGTCCAGGGACCGCGGAGCCAGCTCCTCCTTGCTCCTATCCCTACAGCACCCTGAAAACCCTCCTGCAGGGATCGGCTCAGGTGTCCCTGTCAGCTGGCCCGGCCCGAGGAACGGCCCTGAACTGTCCCTGTGTCCCATCCCAGGACAAACTGCAGCTCTGGAGCGAGGCTAGCAGCAGGATCTCACCCACAGGATGGCCTCCTGGGCTGCAGACCTGCGTTTGGGATCTGGTGAAGATTGCTCCCTTGCCACGCCCCGGACACCCCGGGGCTTCCATGGTTGTCCAGGGCTGCGGAACGTCTGTGCGACCCCAGGGCCACCTCCCGGGGCCTGGAACTCCCAGAGACCCTCCTGCCTCTGCTCCCCAGGGATGGGTCACGTAATAATTAGCGGAATCAATTATCAGTGTTATTATTGGTGTGAGGTAGCCTCCTGCCCAACCTCCTGAGTGCTCCGTTGTTTGGAACCATCTGTATTCACAGGCTATCACGTGCAGACACGCCACCCAGGACCGGAAATTAGTCTGAAAACCTTAGCTGTGCAAACACAGTAGGTGGCAAGAGGTCAGAGGTTAAGGGCGCTGATCACAGAGGGCCTGGTTTGGTCCCCAGCACCCAGGCGCAACTGTGGCTCTGGCTCCAGGGTCCACGCCCCCTTTCTGCCCCAAGGAGCACAAGTAACACAGCAAACATCTTAAAAGGCCCAACTGGCGGCCAGGGGTGGGAGGGTGAGGAGGGGACAGGTTCCAGTGACAGTCCCCGGACACGACTTTATTCATTTTTGGTGTACAAAGGTGATGGAGGACTCTTCAGATGTGGGGCGCATGGCTGTGAGGGGGCCCAGCTACCCCTGGCCGCTGTCTTCCCTTTGGTGTCCAGCCAGGCTACTGTGTCCTTGTCTGGGTCCTGACCCTGAGCAGCCTGGGGCTTCTTGTGGCAGATGTCACCACAGCTCCAAAGCTGGGACCTCTCGACCCTCAGGTCCCAGAGAGACTTGTGACGTTCCCCTTCCGTGTCTGTCCCTGGGCCCTCGGTCCCGCTGGCTTCACACTAGACGCCTGCAGGCGTGGGCTCCCAACCCTAAGATGGAGGTGGTGGGTGCTATGAGCTCTGGCCGTTTCCTGTCTACGTGCTGTGAGCTCCTGTTCAAACGTCAAAGCCTCATCTGAAATGCCCTCTGGAAGCTCTCTGCCTCCCCTCTGGTTCTGGCTTACCCTGAATTCATGTCTCCCAGACCGGAACCCTGTAGGGGAGCCTAGCACTGGTCAATCGCAGAGACCTGGAAGCCTGGGGAAGACACCAGTCCACAGAGGTCACGCCCTGCTCCTCAGTCCTGTGCAGTGTTGGGAGGCACCGGCCTCCCCAGACTGTGTTCCTAAAGCAGACAGCCGTGGCCAGGAACGTGAACCTGGTCCCGAGGTGTCGACTCACACATCAGCAGGTCATGCAGCGTGGCCGCCCAGTTTCCGAGGGTGGGTGGGGGTCCACCTGACAGACAGAGTCCAGTGAGCCACGCCGTCCACTCTGCCAAGCCCAGCTCCTACGTCAGCTCAGGGAAAGGCAGTCAGGGGTCACCAGGGGGTGCCTGACATGCACAATTCACTGTCTGTCTGAGACGGCCCTCCTAAGCAGCCCGGGCTGGCCTGGATCGCGGCTGGGACCGGCCCTGTCACCACACCCTGCGCAGGACAGCTTTATGACCCACCCCTGAAAGCTAGAGAGGGCGCAGGCAGTACCTCAGAGTACAGCGGGGGCGGCCGGTAGCGGAACTCCTGGAGGCAGGCGAAGTAGGGCCCCTCCAGGGTCACACCCGCGTCGCGCGGGACGGGGACGGGCCCCGGGGAGGCAGCGGGCAGCTGGCTCTCGCTCACCACCGCTGCGTACTCAGGAGGGGCTGGAAGGGAGAGACGGCGTGTGAGCCTCTGGGACTGGGTTTCCGGGGGGCCCAGGACTGTGCCGCGGTCATGACTGAGCCTTTTCCCCCTCGGGACAGCTTCCGGGGCCCAGGCTGCCCCTCAACTTGTAGCAATCCTCCTGCCTCAGCTGGGATCGCGGGCTCATTTTGGCTTTAGCTACTGCTTCATTTTGTTTTTGAAGCAGGGTCTCAGTGCAGAGCGGGCCGCCCTCAAGCGCACAGCGACAGGTCACCGGCGTGTGCCTCCGTTGGCTGGTGGCGTTAAAGGCTGTGGCTCGGTTTAGAGGCTGGGTCTCCTACACCGTGGCTGCTTCTGAATCGTTAAGTAGAGACTAGCCTCTCACTGTCCCCGCAGTGCTCGGTGCGCGGGGACACCCCTGGACCGGAGAGGCAGGGCGGGGCTGTGGCTCCGCCCACCCGCATCCTTGGGGCCCCGCTGAGCTCACCCTCCGGCGGTTCCATCCCTGGGCCCCAGTTCTGCAGGAGGCTGGCGCGGCTGCCCACACTGGCCGAGCGGCTGCCCAGGGGACGCAGGGGGACTGTGCCGATGACCAGCGGCAGCTCCAGCAGCAGCTTCGAAGAGCCTGGGATGTCCACACAGACCTGGGGGGAGAGCGGCGATGCGGACTGCGGCCCCCCTGGCCTGAGCAGCAGGGTGTCGGGAGCTTGCTGGGGTACCTTGAGCGAGTAGCCCACACTGAGCACGCGGCAGCGCAGGATGGATGGGCCCACCGGGGGGATGCGCAGCGCGCGACCGGGCCACAGTGCACGTCGCCCAGGGCCCACGGGCTCCCCGTCCACGCTGGCCACCACGGTCTGCTTCTGCTTGCAGGCGCCTCGGGCCATGAAGGTCTGCGTCTGTACCAGGGCGGCCCGGGGCTGCACGGCCCGCGTGCAGCCATTGCCAATCTCCGCGAACACAGGGATGACTTCGCCTGCAGCACGGGGCAGCTTGCCTCAGTTTCCCCATTGCCAGTTCTCCCCGCCCCAGCCACTTCCGACCCCACCTGCTACCTGGAGTGTAGCCCTTGCGGTCGATCTTGGCTGACAGGGACACCAGCCCATGGGTGCAGTACCAGGAGCGTGCCACCTTCTCCCGGGCTCCAGCCTGCGGCTCCTGTGGCAACACTAGGGGTCACCTCGTTTCTATGTCGGAGGGACTCTTGTCTCAAGGAGTAGCTGAGGCAGGGGGATTGGTGCCTGCTCTAGGCCAGTCATCCCTACAAAATATGTCCCTATCTCAAGAAACCAAAAGTTGAATAAAAACATTAAAAACAAGAGTAGGTGTGGTGGCTTACACCTTTGATGCTAGGCAGATCTCTGTGGGGTGATGCCAGCCAGGGTTACGCACATAGAGACCTTTGTAAAAATTAAAAGAGCACAGGACGAAAGAAACAACAACAAACGAATAAAACCCTCAAAACCAATTAAACAACAGCGACAAAAAGTTGCAAGCCCTGTTGTGTTTCCCAAATGGGGCTGGGGGGGGCAAGACACTTACCCGGAGCCACACCCACCCACCCAGAAGGTTCCACGGTCACCACTGACTCCTGGCTGCCCTGTTTCAGAGACCGCACCGGGCAGCCAGGCTGGACCCCCCTGCCCCGCACAGGGCGGCCGCCTACCAGCAGGGCGGGAGTGTTTATGTCCACGGGCTCAATGACGGTGAACACCTTCTGGGCGCGGCGCGCAGGGGCCCAGGGCCGGTGCAGGGTGGCCGTGATGGCGTAGCGGACGCTGCCGTGTTTGCCCTCGAAGGACGTCACCAGGGAGCTGGGATGGAGACAGAGGCACGCAAGTGGGCGTCCCGAGGCCTTAGGGTCCGGCGCGGCAGACGCCCCCGGGCGGGCGGCGGCGGCGCTTACATGGGCAGCTGGAAGCTGAAGGGGAACTCGTGGCGTCCGGCGGGCAGCGCGGCGACGTCCCCCGAGTCTAGGAGCAAGACACGGGGCTGAGTGGGGGCGGCGCGGGGGTCGCCTGCCCCGGGCGCCCCGGTCCCAGGCCATACCTGGCGCGAGCAGCGTGGCGCGGTGGCTCACGACCTCCACGCGCTCGCTGTAGCTCTGCGTGTACGCTGTGCTGGAGCCCGCGCTGCGGGACTCGGTCCAGTGCGCGCGCGCGCGGCCCCGGGCGCGCAGCCTGAGCGCGCCCACGCGCGCCGCGCCCGCCAGCTCCAGCAGCACGCGGCCCGCCACTGCCTGGCCCCCGTGGAACACCGGCTCGGCGCCCGCGCGCGCCCCGTCCAGCTGCACCGCGAACACCCTCACTTTGTCGAACAGCATCGCGCCGGCGGGCGCGAAGCCAGGAAGCAGGTCGCCCCGGGGCTCGAACCCGCGATGCGGGTCGCCGGGACGCCGGGAGCGCGGCAGGTGCGAGCCCCGGCCCGCGACCGCTGCCTACCCGCGCCGGCATCGCTCTTATATGGCGGGGCGGGGGCGGGGCCTGCGGAGAAAGCCCCGCCCACATGAGGAGGGTCCGTCAAACACGCAGCTAGGGGCGGGGCCTCACAGAGAAAGCTGCGCCCTTAGGAGAGGCTGGGCCAATCGCGCGGCTGAGGAATGGCCTGAGGAGAAAGCCGCGCCTCCCGGAAGAGGCCCCGCCAATAGCGCGGTGAGGAGGCGGAGCCTGAGGAGCCGAACTAGGCCAAAGGCTTCCCGAGGGCCGTGGCCTGGGAGAAAGCCGCGCCCCCTGGATTACGCCAATAGCATTGAGGGGCGTGGTCTGGAAGCCCGCCCCTTCGGCCGGCAGCTTTGAGGAAGCGTGGCCTTGGAGAAAGCCTCGCCTACCGGAACATTCCGCCAATAGCACGGAGGGGCGTGGCGCCTCGGGGCGGAGCCTCGGTGGGCGGTGTTGCAGCGAGGGCGGCTGCCGCGGGGGAGGGAAACTGAGGCCGGGAGACGGGCACTGGGCACGGTTGCTCTTGCGTATTTCGGGCGGGACTAGGGTTCACGGCGCATGCGCGGGCCGGCGGGGCTGCGGGTTGCAGCGCTCTGCGGAGCCCGCCCGGGACGCCGGGGACGTCCCCTGCCCACCGAGGCCGTCGCCGCGGGCTCGGGCGGTGCGCGCTGGCGGCGTGGGAGGCCTGCGTACCCTGCTCCGATCCCTGGGGACCGTGCGACCTTCTCGGTGCCTCAGTTTCCCCCCAGAGTGGCTGGCAGCGGTGCTCCCGGGGGCCCCTGCCCGGCGGTTGCGGGACGCGCGCCCCCCGGTGGCCGACTCACGCACTGCGGGGGCTTTCTCCCGCGGTCCCCCGCGTGGGGCACTCAGGATCCTGCCCGGCAGCCGGGCGCCGCACACACCGCCATCTCCAGCGCTGGGGGCGCGAGCAGCCCGTGGGAAGGGGCCGGGAGGGTAGAGCGGGGACGGGGTGCACCCCGCAGGGCGACGGCTCCGCACAGATGAGCCTGCAGAGGTCCGGAGAGGACCAGGCCTCCGCCCGAGGTCGCACAGGCGCCAGTGCCGAGGAAGCCGCCTCCGCTGCTGTGCCACCCATTTCACGGCCGGGCACACGGAGGCCTGGTTCAGCTGTGGGAGGGAGGGAGGGGCTGGAGCTCAGGCGACCTGCCCTGCACGCACAGCTGGCGCTGGGGACTCTCTAGCCCTACTCCAGGCTGGCTCGTGGGAGACATCCCGACCCTACCCACAAACGCCACCAGGCCTTCCCCGACTCCAGGGAAAGACCCGGAGTAGCACACTGCAAGGTAAACTGAGGCAGGGTTGGGTGCACAGAGATGAGGTCTTCCTTGAGAACTGGGACCCGCACACACCCAGGGGCTTCCTAGCCCACCAGGGGTTTTACAGCCCTGCATGGGGGCCAGAGCCCCACACTTTAGTTGGGGGTGTCCCGCCGTGTGACCTGCTGTCACAGGCCCGGGATGGGACACAATCCAAGCATGGACCTCACCCAGGAACGGTGGGCGTCCCTGTGGGAACCCCATCTCGGGAGCCCCTATGGATTTGTTTGTTTTTCCAGACAGGGTTTCCCTGTATTGTTTTGGAGGCTGTCCTGGAACTCTGTAGACCAGGCTGGCCTCGAACTCACAGAGATCCGCCTGCCTCTGCCTCCTGAGTGCTGGGATTAAAGGTGTGTGCCACCAACGCCCGCTTTGTTTTTTGTGACAGTCTATTGCAGCCCAGGATAGGCTCAAACTACCATGAACTGCCTGCCTGCCCCAGGCTCCCCTGCTGCGATGACAGATTACAACGGGGTTCCCATGTGCTGAGACAGGGTCCAGTCATGTAACTCCTGGCAATCCTCCTGCCTCGGCTTCCTGAGAGTCTACTGCTTACCCAGAAGCAACCCCTGCTGTCCTCACAGGTAGGTCTCGGCTGCGCTGAAGTCGCTGGCCACAGCGGTCATGCGTGCCCACCCGGCCGCGCGCCGCCAGCACGAGCGCGCGCTCTTGCACCCGCAGAGGCGCTGTCCCAGCAGCCTCTGTCTCCGCACAGCACGGGGCCCCGCATCACCGCGGCACACCCACCTCAGATCCTACCCTGAACCTTTGTACTTGCTGAGTCTGAGGGACTCTGTTGTCCTCCATCCCCAAGTGTCATCACCAAGGGGTCCCGGGTCCCCTCCAGACTTGTTTCTGCCACGACCCAGACTCACTGTGTAGCCAGGACTCAGCAACCCACCAAATGTTGGGATCAAAGCCCATCTCCCGTCTTGTTTATTTCCTGGGTTCTGGTGGCCGGGAGCTAACACGCTCGCAGAGGACAGGTCACATTCCCCAGGCCCTCTGGACCATCTCCGGAGGAGGCATTTATTGAGCAGCTACCCTGTGGCCTTGTGGAGGGTTGGGTTGGCCTGCTCTCCCTGATACAGACGCCCACCATGCCCCCCTGCGGCAGAGGAGCAGAGCCCAGTTTCCCCCCAACACTCCCTCCCCATTAACTTCTTGCTGTGGAGTCCGAGGCAGGCCTCTAGGCAGCCAACCACAGGTCCACCATCTCCTCATCAGACTGCACAGCTGTCCTGACCGGCCACCTCCCCGTCAGGGACCCCAGTGTTCCCCAAGCGGCCACACTCTGGGACCCAAGGCCTGGGAGGACCTGGCCACTCTGCTTGCCTGGTCTCCTACCACCTGCACGTCTGACCCCTCCCACACGCCCGCCCTCTGACCTCAGGACCGGCACGAGGGGTCTGTCCACCCTCGCCGCGTGGCAAGGCTCACCTGTGAGCCTGTATGTTACCCCAGCCAGATCGATCTGAAGAAAAGTCACTGTATACAACAGGCACTCAATGCATGTGCAGTGACCCCGCCATTCAGGAACCGTCAGGCTGGGGCATCCACCTCCTCTGGGGAGAAGCTCGGGGCCCCACCATGTAAACAGAAAGCGGTTGGTGTCTCCTGATTTACTAAGAAACGACAAGGGGCCCCTGCTGCCCTCTCTGCCCTCCTGGGGCTTAGGATAGCCAGGGGCCCAGCAAGCTCCCAGTCCAGTTCAGAGGGATGAATGCCAGGTGTCCCGGCTCAGCTCCTCCCACGCCTGAAAATCCAGCGGTCCAGAATGATGAGGAGCTAGCTGTGGCCACATGATGGCCAAGATTTAGCAGTCTGGTGACCAGCAGGCAGTCACCCGAAATCCGACCCCATGGCGGGCAGCCAGTGGCCCGGTGGGGTCTGGGTGGCTAGGGCCGCGTGGCCAGGCCCTGGCCATGGAGGTGGCAGAGGGCATATGGCTTGGGCGATGAGGCCTGGCAGGGCCTGCAGGGAGGCGCCCAGGGCGTCCAGGCGACCCTCCAGGGCCGTCAGGCGTGCTTCCAACTCCTCCTGCTGGGCCTGCAGCTCGGACACCACTTCGTACGCGATGCTTTGCGCCTGCAGAGATGGAGAGACTGACCGAGTGACAAAGGCAGGACCAAGGGAGGGCTAAGGACTCCAGTGGCCACCATGAAGATCAAAAGAGCACGGCACAGGAACAGTTTCTGTGAAAGGAGCAAGCCAGGCATGTGACTATGGCCTTGGTCAGCAGGGGGCGCCGGAGGTGCGCAGGAACCGCTGCAGGCGCCGCACTTACCGCCAGGGGGCGTGCGAACACCACCAGCTCAGCGGCAGGGCACTGAAGACTGACCCAGCCACCCACCGGCCTCTGGGCTGCCTCACTGTTTGCCCAGGCTGTACCTCACCTGTCCCCACTCCTAAAGAAACCAGGATGTAACATTTAAAGAAACCCATAACTGCAACTTTCAGATGGCTCAGAGCCCTCTCTGTTATTTTATTTTTATTTATTGAAACAGGGCATCACCATAGCTGTCCCGGATTCAATATATAGACCAGACTGGCCTCAAACTCCCAAACTCTGCCTCTCAGAAGCTGTGATTAAAGGTATGTACCACCAGACCCAACTTGACTTTTTATTTAGTTTTGGTTTTTCGAGACAGGATTTCTTTGGCTATCCTGAGACTCACACTGTAGACCAGGCTGGCCTCGAACTCATAGAGATCCGCCTGCCTCTGCCTCCTGAGTGCTGGGACTGAAGGTGTGCACCACCACACACAGCTTGACGTTTTATTTTTATTTATCTGTTCATATGTATATTGTGAGACACAGTCTGAAGGCCATCCTTGAGTTCAAAGCAATCATCCTACTGCACCTACTTAGTATTGGGATAAACAGTGTCTAACAAATCACTATGACCTTTCACTAACACCCCTGAACTCTAGAAACTGAGGCAGGAGGATCAGTAGTTCTAAGTTGTCCTTGGCTACAAAGTGAATTCCAGGACAGACTGGGTTACATAACACCCTGTCTCAAAAAACAACAAAAAGAATTTAATAACTTCAGAAAATCTTACTGGAAAGAACATGGCTGTGAGGTGGAACTCCTGACCAGCATTCCTCCAGCTAAGGGGCTGAGGGCGTGGCTCAGGGGTGGAGCCCTATCTAGAATATCCCAGGAGGGGCTGGGTGTAGGAAAAAGGACCAGCCAAAGAAACACACCTGAGCAGAGCCAAAGAAACACACTTTGGCCCTGCAACCAGAACCAAAGAAATGCACCCTGATCCTGAAACCAGTGCCAAAGGAACACACTTTGTCCCTGGAATCAGAGTCAGTGAAAGAAATGCACCCTGGCCCTAAAATTGGAGCCAAAAGGCTAAAAAGGACCAGAGAAAGAAACACACTTTGGCTATGAAATAAGAGTCAAATTAGACCTTAACCTGTGCAGAAAACCAACCAACCCCTGAGCAGATTTGGTCATCCTAAACTCAGGGACTGAAATCTGACGAATCCCCACCCTGGAAATCTCCCAGGAAAATCTTTACCCCTAAGACGCCCTACATAACCCTGTACCGTCTTGCGTTGGTGGTGTAGTGAGAGCACAGCTGCCTTCCATAAACCCTGTGTCTGCACAGCTTCTGGCTGCCCCGCTGCCCGGCTGTCCTCTTCCACCCTGGCAGGGGGCAGCCGCTCTCCTGGATTCTTCCCTCCCAATAAATCTCTTGAATGAGGTTTGGGTGAGACTTTCCTTAGTGGGAATAGAGCAGAGGAGAGAAGTAACAGCTTTTTGCCAGAGCAGAGCAGAGCAGAGCTGAGCTGAGCTGAGCTGAGCTGAGCTGAGCTGAGCTGAGCTGAGTGAGCTGAGCTGAGCTGAGTGAGCTGAGCTGAGCTGAGCTGAGCTGAGCTGAGTGAGCTAGCAGAGCAGGGCTGTGACACTTTCGCCAGGGAGAGCTTCCCCCAGCGAAGCAGAGTTGTTACACTACATACACTCCAGGACTGGAGCCGAACTGTAACAACTTTGTTGGGAAAACCCTGTCATGATGGAGCAGAGCTGTTACACTGGGGAAGCCTTTCCCTGGAGCAAGGCTGTAAGATGTTACACTTTCTGTGACCTGAGGTAGTCCTTGGCTCTGGAGTACCAGAATCCATTCCCATCCTATCTGAGCCACCGCAATGCTTACACTGGGTCGTGGCTCAGGAGCGCAGCCCTTGACTAGAATCCCCCAGTGAGGGGCTGTGGCTGTGGTGGGGTGGGGGGGTGAGGGGTGGAGCCCTTGACTAGAATCCCCCAGTGAGGGGCTGTGGCTGTGGCGGGGGTAGGGGGTGAGGGGTGGAGCCCTTGACTAGAATCCCCCAGTGAGGGGCTGTGGCTGTGGCGGGGGTGGGGGGTGGAGCCCTGACTAAAATCCTAGGCTGTCTATATATTCAACACTGGATCTCTATGTAGCCTAGGCTATTTCTGACCTCCCAGCCTCAAGGGATCCTCCTGCCTCAGCCTCTGGAGTCCCTGGCTTGTAGTCCTATGAGTGGAATATTAATTGTGAATTTAAACTCTAGAGGCAAGTTGCACAGAAACACTTGATGCTACACTGTGGGTTCCCACTCTCCTCTGAGGAGACTCTCCCCTCCCCTCCCCTCCCCTCCCTTCCCACCCTGCCCAATGCTCACCTTGGCAAGGTCGGCCAGCGTGTTGGCCTGATCGTTCACTTTCCCGTGTTCAATCTTCACACTCCGCAGCCTGGGGAAACAGGAGTGTGTGTGGTCAGGCTACGAGGGATGCGTCTGCAGGTCTGACTAGACCAGACCTGGACACTCCTCACCCTCGGGACGGACACAGTCTCTGCCCACTAGGCTGCCCTCCCCATGGGCAGCATGAGTTCCCAGTCTTCCAATCAGCTCAATACTTACTTCTGAGCCCTGGCGGGAGCCGGCAAATCAAAAAAAGAAACAGAGAGAAAGAAAAGACACAAAGCAATTTTAATCCCGTATAGCAACACGCCAAGTGTCCAGTCACCAGCACCGTCCCCAGGCCCTGCCTGTCATGCAGCCTGAGGGGCAGGTACAAGGTGCCTTGCCTCCAAGGGCAACTTGTTCAGAAAACATCCTGACAAGGAAACTGAGGCTGGCAGAGACAGCAGCACAGGGGTCAGCACACAGACAGGACTTGACCCCTTGGCGGTCAGTCAGGCATGTGCCCTTGACCCATGGAAGGCTGCTCTCCCAGAAGGGGCTTCCAGAGGGATCCCACTCTCCAAATCCCCACGGAGGGGGTGACCCTGGCTCCCACTGAGCATCATAGCACCACAGGCAAAAAGAAAAATAAGGAAAGAGAGGCGGGGTGGCAGACAGACACACAGAACCCATCCAGGACAGGGGGCCGTGAGGGTGGAGGGCGGGGATGCAGCCTCTGTGGCCAATGAGAACCAGAAAGATTCAGACCCACAAATCACACGTGCCCGCTGTGTGTTTTTCCAGGACTGCTCATTTCTTTGGTTTGTTTATTGGATTCCCCTGGAGCTCACACTAGTTCCATTGTGGGGCTCTCCTACTCAGCCCCCCTGCTCACGCTGGCTCCCGAATCTCCCTGCCTCAGCCTGGGATTTGTACCCTCCTCGGCATGGCTGCCCCTGCGATCCGGTCCATACTCCTCCCGCCTCTGAGCCCTAAGCCATTCTTTTGTTTTGTTTTGTTTTGGTTTTTTTGAGACAGGGTTTCTCTGTGGCCCTGGCTGTCCTGGAACTCACTTTGTAGACCAGGCTGGCCTCAAACTCACAGAGATCCACCTGCCTCTGCCTCCCGAGTGCTGGGATTAAAGACGTGCACCACCACCACCTAATCCAATCTTGTTTGGCTTCAATAACTGTTATAGCAGGTATTCAGGAAAACTCCACAGAGGCACAGGACTACTATGTCAGAGTCTCCGGTGCCCCAGGGCGCAGGTGACTCACAGAGAGACTCATCCTCCTGGACACACTACTCTCAGCACCCCCCCTTTCCTCTTCTGGAATCAATCATTCTAGCGCATCCCTTGGGGCATCTCTAGGGCACAGCCATGAGCGGCTGCCCGAGAGACAGGTGCACAGGGAAGGAGCCGTGAAGGAGCCACACTTACTGATGGATGGCTTGGAGGAACTTACGCTGGTGTTTCCGAACCCGGCCTTGGTCTGGCTTCTTCACTAGCCTGCTGTGTTTGTAGATGAGCCATGTCTCCCTGAGAACATTCGCAGCGGCATTTCTGACCTGGGAACAGAAGAGAACAGTTCCTCAGGGTTGTTATCAGATGACCCAAAACTTCTGCAAACTTCTAGAAACCTCTAGAAATTCAAGAACCACCTGTCAGGGTTCCCTACACTGTGAGCCAGAGGCATGTTCTCATGTCCGTATCTAATGTAACAGGGGTGCCAGACTGTCAAATACTCAAAATGGGATTGTAGCAACTCCACACATGCTAGCTTCTTTTACAGCAGTGGGTCTCAGTGTGTGGACTGCAACCCTTCGGGAGACACAAGTATTTACTTTCCTGTATTTATTTTATAATTCAGTAGCAAAATTATAGTTATGAAACAGCAACAAAAATAATTGCATGGTTGGGGGGGTCACCACAATTGATGAGGAACTCCCTTAAAGGGTTGCAGCAATAGGAAGATTGAAAACTACTGTTTTATAGGGTCTCATGTAGCCCAGGCTGGCCTGAAGCTCACTGTGAGGCTGAGGATAGCCTTGACTGCCTGCCTCTGCCTCTTGAGTGCTGGGATGACAGGCCTGGGCCACCATGCCTGGTTCATGTGGTGCTGGGTGGGGACCAGTGCTCTGTGCATGGTAGACAAGCTCTCTGGCAGCTGGGTTCCAGCGCCTCGTTCATTGTTAGACGCAAGCGGAGCACAGACAGGGCCCTGTGGCAATGCTGGAAGCTGGTACTCGTGGCCCTGTCTCCCTGAGCTGCAGACACTGGGATGTGGGAGCCTAGTCATTGTATCTACGGTAAACAAGAGAATGCAACAATGTTTCTCAGGGTATGGTAACAGTCAAGAGTATTGTGTTAGATCTTGAAGAGACCCTGTAGAGAGCAGTGGTTGTTTTCTATGCTTTATGGAGCTGCTTTTCTGAAGGGCTTTTCCATCGTTATATGACTTTGGTCACAAGATTCCCCAGGCACAGCCGGGCGTTGGTGGCGCACGCCTTTAATCCCAGCACTCGGGAGGCAGAGGCAGGCGGATCTCTGTGAGTTCGAGACCAGCCTGGACTACCGAGTGAGTTCCAGGACAGCCTCCAAAGCCACAGAGAAACCCTGTCTTGAAAAACCAAAAAAAAAAAAAAAAAAAAAGATTCCCCAGGCACAGTTGGGGGTCTTGCAAACAGCACAGAGTGAGGATGGAAGGCTGTGATCGCTTCCTTCAGAGAACACACAGCTAAGTCAAAGGGACTTAGGTATGAGGAACCTGTAGCCAACACAGGCTTTGTGTGAGTCAACAAGTCTCTTCTGAACAGAGGCAGTTCCTCCTGCTGCCAGGGTCTGAGGGACATTCTGTAGTGACAGTGACTCTCTTTGGACATGGGGGTGAGCTAGCACAGCTTTGGAATAGCTGCTGTGGTGACCACAGAGATGGGAGCGCGTCCACCCGGAGGCCTGCAGGGAGGGGCTCACCCGCTTGGTGAGCTGCGTGTCCATCATGAAGTTGTGCACGTGTTTCTCGGCCTTGCTGAGCTCCAACTTCCGGGCCACCACAGCCACCACCAGCGCGGTGCAGCCTGCTCCCTGTGTGGGATGAGGCATGTGAGTCCCCACGCCAGGCACACCTCCTCCAGGAAGCCCTCCCTGAGTCCTGCCCCTTCAGGAAAGAGAAGGGGCCCCGCCACAGAGAACACGGCCCTGCCGATACCCAAGGGCGCCATTGGCCCAGGAAGGAGGCAGGTGCTGAGCCCAGGCCGGGTGCAGAGATCGCCCAGGCGAGTCTGTCTCCTTCCTGGTCACGGTGAAGGACCTAGAAGCCTCTGTTGGGGAGAAGTCATACTGACGGGGTCACAGCTATTTTTGGAAAATTCTGTGTAGAATACTACAGAGCCAGGACAAAGGCAGGGAGAAGACACAGAGAAGCACATGGGAGAACACGGGAGCACACACAGGAGAACACGGGAGCACACACGGGAGCACACATGGGAGCACACACGGGAGAACACGGGAGAACACACGGGAGCACACACGGGAGCACACACGGGAGAACACACGGGAGCACACACGGGAGAACACACGGGAGCACACACGGGAGCACACACGGGAGAACACACGGGAGCACACACGGGAGCACACACGGGAGCATACACGGGAGCACACACGGGAGCACACACGGGAGCACACACAGGAGAACACAGGAGCACACACAGGAGAACACAGGAGCACACACGGGAGCACACACGGGAGCACACACGGGAGAACACACGGGAGCACACACGGGAGCACACACGGGAGCACACACGGGAGAACACACGGGAGCACACACGGGAGCACACACGGGAGCACACACGGGAGCACACACGGGAGCACACACGGGAGCACACACGGGAGCACACACGGGAGCACACGGGAGCACACACGGGAGCACACACGGGAGCACACACGGGAGAACACACGGGAGAACACACGGGAGAACACACGGGAGAACACACGGGAGCACACACGGGAGCACACACGGGAGCACACACGGGAGAACACACGGGAGAACACACGGGAGAACACACGGGAGAACACACGGGAGCACACACGGGAGCACACACGGGAGCACACGGGAGCACACACGGGAGCACACACGGGAGCACACGGGAGCACACACGGGAGCACACACGGGAGCACACACGGGAGCACACACGGGAGCACACACGGGAGCACACACGGGAGCACACACGGGAGCACACACGGGAGAACACACGGGAGAACACACGGGAGCACACACGGGAGAACACACGGGAGCACACACGGGAGCACACACGGGAGAACACACGGGAGCACACACGGGAGCACACATGGGAGCATACATGGGAGAACACACGGGAGCACACACGGGAGCACACAGGAGAACACACGGGAGCACACAGGAGAACACACAGGAGCACACACAGGAGCACACACGTGCACACGGGAGCACATGGGAGCACACACGAGCACACGGGAGCTCACACATGCACAGGGGAGCTCACACAGGAGAACACAGGAGCACGCAGGAGCACACGGGAGCACACACAGGAGCACACATGGGAGCACACACAGGAGAACACAGGAGCACACGGAAGCACACGGGAGCTCACACGTGCACAGGGGAGCTCACACAGGAGCACGCAGGAGCACACGGGAGCACACACGGGAGCTCACACGGGAGCTCACACGGGAGCACGCAGGAGCACACGGGAGCACACACGGGAGCACACGGGAGCACACACGAGCACACTGCCGTGGGTTGTGATCACTAGAGGCCAGGCAGGGCGGCATCACATTCAGGGAGAAAACGGCGGGTGCCGGATGAGAACACGGAAGTGGGACTGTCTGTGCCCAGAACGGAAAATGGTGGCAGCAGAGAGGAGCAGCAAGCCAGGCGCGCACGGCCCGGGTGACTTACCATGATGCCGGTGAGCAGACACACGCCCTTGCCACAGTAGGTGTGCGGCACCATGTCTCCGTAGCCGATGGACAGGAAGGTGATGGAGATGAGCCACATGGCTCCCAGGAAGTTGCTGGTCACTTCCTGCTTGTCATGGTACCTGGGGTTGGGGACAGACTGTCATCCACACCGCCCTTACCACCTTCATCCACCACATCCCAAACAAGGGGCAGAGCTTGGGGCTCATCTTTCCCTGGATGCTCAGGGAATGGGGTGGGGCTGGTGACAGAGACTCTGGTGCAGGCTGGGATAGGAGCACCACACCCCCTGCATGGACCTTCCAGACTCCCCCTGCCACGGCTGCCCTCCCTAACCCATGACAGCACCAAGTGACCCAAATGCACACAGCCACATAGGGAAGACAAGCATATAGGTTAGACACCAGGAAGCACTTCCCACAGCCTGTGAGGCCCGAGGAAAGAGGGCTCGGGAGACTGCAGACCCCACGCGGTTTTCACTTAAGGAGAGGGGACACGGGGTCCTGAGACACTGGAGAGCGGAGCTCCGCTGGAAAAGCTGCCTGAGGTCTCACCTAGGAGAGCTACAGAGATTGGTCACCCCACATGGGGCTGGCATGGCGGGATGCTGGCTCTGGGGTGCTGGCAAGGATTTAACCGCAATCCCGAGTTTTCCAGTGACCATTCTGATTTTTGTTTTTGCTTTTCAAGACAGGCTTTCTCCATGTAGCTTTGAAGCCTGAGCTGGGTGTGGCGGCGCACGCCTTTAATCCCAGCACTCAGGAGGCAGAGGCAGGAGGATCTCTGTGAGTTTGAGGCCAGCCTGGTCTCCAAAGCCTCCAAAGCCACAGAGAAACCCTGTCTCAAAAAACAAAATAAACCAAAAAACTTGAGCCTGTACCTGGTGGCCCCAGCCCCGAGTCCTATCCCAGACCCCCAGAAGGGCAGGGGCCAGGGGTGGGGGCCAGCTCTGCTGAGCTGACTTCAGAGGGCAGCGTGGGATGCCGGGAGAAGGTCAGGGCCGGAGCGATGGCTGGGTCTCCAGGAAAACCATGGAGGCTGAGGACACGGCCCTCAGTCAGACACGCTGAGGTCCACCCTGCAGGGTCACAGGACGGAGGTGGGGCCTTGGGGTCAGGGCTGGGGGATGCGAAGGCTATCTCAGTGTGGTGGGAGCCGGCGCCTGGATTCAGTCACCTCTCACACACGCGCACTGTCCAGGCAGCGACGATCCAGGAGGAGATGCTGAAGACCAACAGCACGGTGCCCGGGCAGATGGTCATGAGGGTCTTGGTGACAAAACGCGTGTTGAAGGTGACGCGGTTGAGGGCCCCGATGCTGCGGCTGGACGCGTCCGTGAAGATGCGACTGTGCAGGAGCATGACCCGCGCCAGCAGGTAGAGGCGCAGGAACATGGGGACCGACAGAAGCACGTCCAGGTCCGCCTCGGCCGCCGACGGCACCAGGGAGAAGGCCAGCCGCGCCGTCCACGTGAAGCGGTAGTGGCCGGGCACCGGGTGGATGGCGCACACGGCCAGCTCCAGAGAGATCAGGGACACTCGCTCCCACGTCATCGCGATCCGCCAGTCATCAGCACCATTGTCCACCAGGAACAGCTGCGGGAGGCGGTCGCTGGGGCGGTCTCCCGAGCACGGGGCCACCCCTCGACTGGCCGAGGCCTCACCCAGCTCAGGATTTTGGACAGAGATTTTTTTGTTTGTGTATTTTTTTGAGAGAGGGACTCATGTAGCCCAGGCTGGCCCTGAAGTCCTGATCTCATACATCAGCTGCAAAATGCTGGGGTGACAGCTGGAGAACACCCCACCTGGCCAGTTTGTTTTGCCTTTTGGAGACAGGGTCTTATCTTGGGCTAGCCTTGAACCATCAGCAATTCTCCTGCCTCAGTCTCCAAAGTTCTAGGATGATGGGGTATGTGTCAAACTTAGTTGGTTTCTCAGGTCTAGTCCTAACTCAAAGCTAACCAAAGGTGCTCGCTGGCAAGCCTGAGGAGGTCAAGTCCTGAAACCCGAAGAAATGACTGACACATGTGCATACCCACAAAATGAAAAAAAAAAAAAAAGGCGTGGAGGAGAGGGCTGCTCCCTACCCTGGGTCTGAGCACTGGAACCATAGAGTACCTTTATGATTTTAATTCCACCGTGCCCTGACCTTGTCTGCAGAGGCAGTGCCGAGGGCAATGCACAGGCAGCCTCCCTGCAGTCCTGAGGAAACAGCCCCACACTCTGCAGGCTGCTGCTGACCCTGTCTGTGGGTGACAGGCTGACAGGGTGCGAGCCTGGTGACACTTCCTTCCTCCATTGCCCATGTGACGACCACTGACCTCACCACTGTTAGCTCTCACCCTGACTCCCTGTTCTGGAACCTTCTCAGCAATGCAGAGCTACACCTGTGGCTTTGGGGCCTCCCTCAGCCTCGGTCTCCCCACCTTGGGTCAGAACGCTGCAGGTGGAAGGCTTCGCGGGCGTCACTCAGCAAAAGGGGGTGACTGGAGGGGAAACAGGTCTCAGCTGGGCATGCGTTGTCACCCCGGAGATGGGGTGCTATCCCACAGGGCCCCTGTCCTGACCCCGGCACGCCTCCCAGTACCAACCTGGATCTCGTGGGCATGGTAGAGGATGACAAGGCCAAGCAAGACGAGAGTGGACAGGCTGATGAGGCATTTCAGCGCAAATGAGAACAGAGACCCCTGCACAGAGAGGACACCCACAGTGCACAGCGCTGCCACCCAGGCCTCGGCCAAGCTGTGGCAACCGCAGGGGACACTGCAGACGGTACGGCTTCGCAAGCCCGCCCCGTTAGGCTGGGACAACTGCCCCCCCCCAGTGGTCCCCAACCAAAGTCTTCTTGGGCTACCTTGTAAGAGACCTGGCAGTGGCCAGGATGTCCCAGTGTCACACATCCGTGCCTATTCACACAGCAGCGTCCCACAAGCTCACCCCCCCCTCCAGGCCCCTCCTGGCTCAGGTGCCCATCTGGGGCCCCAACCCCAGGCTGAGCAGATGGGAGGGGCAGTGCCTACCTTGGTGTACACACCCCAGGACAGCTCTGTTTCTGTCACCATGACGACAATCCCAAACATGCCAAAGATAAGAGCATAATCACTGAGGCGTTTGCGCTTCTCGAAGAGGGCCCTGCGGTGGCCCAGGCGATGGCTGACCGTAGGGGGCTTCCTAGAACCCAGTCGGGAAGCATCTTCCTCCTCTTCTTCCTCCTCCTGCTCCTGGGGATGGCCCCTGGGGCCACCAGGTGACAATGGAGCAGGCCGGCCCTTGGCCACCATCTGCAGGCCTCGACCTTGGGCAGGATGCAGGGGGCAGCCTGCCTCAGGGTCCAGAGGCTCCCAGCCCAGGGATTCAGGTCCACTGCCCAGAGGTCGCCCCACACTGCCATTGTGGCTGCGGCTACTCATGGCCACCGGCCTCCCTGGGCTGGGCTTGCGGCAGGCCTGCGGGGGCCCGGCATGGCTCAGCAGGGGCCACCAGAACAGACCTGTGGAGACAGAAAACAGTGAACATCACCATGGCCATTCCAGAGCAAGCCAAGGCCTCAGAGGACGCAGAATGCACTGACCATCTGGAAAGCGCTGTCAGACACCAGCATGCCCTGTGCCCACCCGGCCCACCTACCCTCCAGCCGCTGATCTGGCAGCTGGAAGCAGTGGCCTGTGAGTCCGGAAGGCCTCTGCACACCACTCCCCACACTGCAGGCGTGAAGAGGCAGTTTGGGGCTCTGACTGGGCACCCGACACTCATGCCAAGTGCAGCCCAGGAGCTGCCACGCTCGCTCCTGAGACAGCTCCCTCCTAGGCACAGGGGGCGGTCCACAGCGGGCAGAAGGTGGCCCACCAGTCCTGAGCCTCCAGGTAGAAGGACATCTGTTGACCCAGCACAGCGGGAACTCCTGCTCCCCATTTATAAAGCTAAGGGAGGTCGGCCGGGCCGTGCTAACAGCCGGGCTAACCGGCATGGCTACAATGGGCACCACCAGGTGGTGGCCCGGGTAAGACCCACAGCTGTGAGAGGAAACCAGCTCGGTCCATCTCTTCCTGCCCCTCCCCCACTGCGATTTCATTCACTCACTCACTTACTTTAGAGATAGGCTCTCACTCTATAGCCCAGCATGGCCTTGAGCTTGTACCACACACCAAGAGCTGGGATGACAGGTGTGGGCACCGTGCCAGGTTTGGCGATACATACCCACCACCTAAGCTCTGAACTTCAAGGCCAGCTGGGGCTACATGAGACCTTCTCAAAATAAAACACAGTAAAATCGGATCGATAGGTGTCCTTGCTTTAGGACTCAAGGAGGGACCCACCTCCCGCACCCCTACACACGAACCGCGGAGAGAATGACCCATGATGGAAACTCCAGGACCCCAGCGCTCCCCGCAGGCTCACCGGCTCCCCTTGCCCTCTGCCCACCAGGGAGCTTACCGGGCCAGGCACTGTCACCGAGAACCCCGCTCAGGTCGCCATCTGCGCCACGTCCACCCTTGGGCACCGACTTTGTGGACTCATCATCTCCCACTCTTCCCTCACCGGGGACACGCGCACCCGCTTCCCTGCGTCCCTTACCCTGACCCCGCGGCTACACCATCCCAGCCGCGTCCCCAGCCGCGTGGTCCAGGCACTCGCGGTTGCCGGGCTCCTGCTCCCCACGCCGGTGCCCGCGGGCGACCGCGGAGACCGGGACCCGCGTGCCAGCGCGTCCGCGCCTCGGCCGCCCGGGGTGGGGGGCAGCGCCCGCCCCCGAGGAGCGGCGCCTTGGATTGGCTGAGCACGTCAGGCCCCGCCCCCGTGACCCCGCAGGCCCCACCCACACTTAAAGCTCCCTCCTGGGTGCTCGGCGAGGATGGGAACCCAGGCGATGGACAGCTGTGCCCGGGTTGCCCGCTGTTGCAGGGAATCCTGCACACTGGAGACCTCGTCTCTGGGGACAGACAATCCCGCTCACTTCGGGGATCCCCCAGTCCTGAACCCCAACAGCCTTGCATGCAGGAGGAGCTCCGGGGATCTGGAGTCATCAGGTCTGGGGGACCCCTACACCTACTGTCTCCCCATTGCCAAGCCAGCCCTGATGGGCTCCCTCATGCAAGTTTTGTTTTAAATTGGGGTCTCATGTAGCCCAGGCTGTCCTAGAACTTACCAGACAGCCCAGGTCAGTCAACTGGCTTTGTAGCCAAGGATGACCTAGAACTCCTGATCCTTCTCTCTCCACCCCCTGGATGCCATCACGGACAGACTTGGGCCACCCTACCCAGCTGGTGCAGTTTTTATGGTCTGTTTTTCCTCAGCCTTCCCCCTAGGGTGCTGAAGTGACAGGTGTCTCCTAAGACACCTTAGGGATGAAGGGATGACTCCATTCCTTTCCCCCTGCCCCCAAACCACGCCATTGCTGACAGGCTGGGCGACTCTGGAGCCTTGGTCTCGGTATAACCCTTCCCTCCGGTCCGGCAGTGCAGCTCAGAGCCTGCAGGTTCGTGGCCAGGACCTGGTGACAGCGCTGAGTGCCAACAGAGCTGTCACCCACATCTCATCAGCCACGTCCTATGGGGACCAGATGACACAGTGGCGTCCAGGTGTAGAGGTGGCTGCCACACCTGTTCTATCCACACAGGTAGAGCCAGATAGGACTATCCCAGATGACAGACGTAAGTGGGTTCCAAGAGACACCACAGAGCGACAGGCCTTCGCAACCTGGTGGGCCCCAGGAGCACCATGCTGTCTCTAGCCTCTGAACCTCCTGCCCCCCGGGCTCCTCACCCTCGGGACCACAGACTTGTCACTGTCACCTTTTTTTTTCCCCTTGAGAAAGGGAACCGTGTATCTGAGGCCAGGCTAAGACTCACTGTGTAGCTGAGAAGGACCGATCCTGAGCTTCTGGTCCTGCTGTCTTTACCTCCTGTCCTGGGATGACAGGCATGTGCCGTCACACCCCACTTACGCAGCAGCGTCAATGATGGGACCAGGGGAGCCGTCTCCCAGCTGAGCCCAGCAGCATAGACGCCAGGGGAGCCGTCTACACCAGGGCTTCACAGACACCAGGGAGGTCTCCCAGCTGAGCCCAGTAAGCTCTACTCATCCAACCAGGCAAGCTGCAGCTTCAGCCTCTTTAACGAACACTGACTGACCAGGCTACCTACTGCTCCCAGGGACGGGTACATGTCCCTGTTTGTCACGGCCCACGTAGCCCTGCTCCGGGTCCTATCGCACCATGCATCTCATGGTGCCCTGGCCAACCGTGGCTGCTGGCGCTAACTGCCATTCACACTCAGATCCAAAGGAACCCAGAGCCTGAGCAGCCACTTCTGCCAGAGCGCACCCACCGCCTTTCCTCTCGGGGCCACCTGCAGGCAGCCTCAAGAGAGGGTCCTAGCAACCGTTTGGGCCGGCCCTGAGGCCTGCAGGAGCCTCAGCCCTGGGGACCCATCAGGTGGTGGTGGCAATGTCCCCTTGGGCTCCAAGGGGACAAGGTGGGCAGGAAGGGAGGGGAGGAGCCACAGGGACACATGACAGGCACTTAGACACCACTGAGACCCCTGGCACAGGAAACAGCCTCTGGAGACCGCTGCACAGGAGGCCCCTCCCTGGGGCCTGAGGGCGGGCCTGGAGCACCGAGACAGGGCTCAGAGGCCACGAGCTCCCCTGCTCCCTCCACTCCCCGCCAGACACACCACTATCCAAAGGGCCAGAATCTTCCCTACACTCACAGAAGCCATCCTGGACTACAGCCCTGTCCAAAGGAAAACAGCAGTGGCGAGAGAGCTGGCCGTAGCCACACTGAGGCAGAGCATGCAAAGGCCCTGGGGCCAGAGCGTCACTACGGGGATGCTTCCTGGGGAGCTGACTGGGCTGTCTGGGCTCAGAGGTCTTGGATTTGCCCATCAGTGTGCCTTGGCCCCCTACATATAGAGCTTTACTCTCAGGGACGAAGGAGGCAACAAACCAGACCTCAAGAGAGAGAGGACAGCCGGGCGGTGGCGCAGCCTTTAACCCCAGCACTCGGGAGGCAGAGGCAGGCGGATCTCTGTGAGTTCAAGGCCAGCCTGGTCTACAGAGCGAGTTCCAGGACAGCCTCCAAAGCCACAGAGAAGCCCTGTCTCGAAAAACCAAAAAAAAAAAAAAGAGAGAGAGAGAGAGAGAGAGAGAGAGAGAGAGAGAGAGAGAGAGAGAGAGAGAGAGAGAGAGAGAGAGAGAGAGAGAACGGGCCCTGGGAAGGGACAGGAGGCCAGTGACCGGGAGCAGTGCTCCCCAGGGGGCAGCCCCCAGTCATAAGCGAGGCGTAGCCGTGATGTACCTGAGGCGGCTGTAGAAGCAGCCAGCAGGGACTCCCTCTGTCCCCACATGATGCTGAGACCACCGACGGCTTCCCACAGCTCTGTGAACCTCAGCTTCCCTGGGAAAGCCCAGCCAGTTTCACCAGCGACCGTGTGCAAACCTGCATTTCTGCCCCCGAACTTCACCATGAGACCTCACTCAGAGGCAGAACTTGATTTTCTTTTGCTTTAAGACAAGGTCTCAGTTTGTGCTGTGTCACAGTGCCCAGCGTAGGACCACATGTATAGTGACAGCTACACAGTGTTTGTTGACTGACTAATACTGATCCCACAGACAGCTCAGGGCAGACCTTAGATGTCAGTCAGGAGTGGAGACTCCACCCACCAGGCTGTGTGACCCTGAGCAGGTCACCAGCCTCTCTGAACTGTCTGTCCACTCCTGCTGAGAGGCCAGAAGCAGACGCCGGCTCCTGCCACCGCTGTCGTCACTGCTTTAACTGTTTCTCAGGCCTCGTCCCTTTTACAGCTGTCTTATAGGGTTATCGGTGTTTTTCTTCCTTCGTTTTGTTGTTATTTGGGGGGGGACAGGATCTCACTATGTAACCCAGACTGTCCTGAGACTCTCTCTGTAGACCAGGCTGACCTCGAACTCACAGACATCCTCCTGCCTCTGCCTCCCGAGTGCTGGGATCAAAGGCGTGGCCACCACTGCCCAGCCCTTGTTTCATGTTTCAGGACAAGGTCTTGTGAAGCCCAGGCTGGCCTCAAATTCACAATGTAGCCCTGGATAACCTTGAACTTCAGCCCTTCCTGGTTCCTTCTCCTACAGGACTAGTTTTTGTTTTTTTGTTTTGTTTTCAGTACTGGGAATGGAAGGCAGGGTTTCCTGTGGATCAGGTAAACACTCTACCAAATGAGCAGCAATTCAGCCATTTTAAAATATCTAATCGAGGATGGGGTGGTGGTGGTGCACACCTTTAGTCCCAGCACACGGGGAGGCAGACGCGGGCGGACCTCTGTGAGTTCAAGGCCACCCTGGTCTACAGAGCGAGTTCCAGGACAGTCAGAGCTGTTACACAGAGAAGCCCTTTCTCAACCCCCTCCAAATTAACTGAGAGAGCTGATGCCCAGAGGGCATCTCACAAGTAGGCGCAACTCTAACTCCAGGGGATCCACTGCTCTTTCGTGGCCCCCTAGGGCAGCACCGCACACATGATGCACAGACACCCATGCACTCAAACACATAAAAGGAAACAAACTCTTAAAATTGTGTTGTTGTTTGGTTTTTTTGAGACAGGGTTTCTTTGTGTAGCCCTAGCTGTCCTGGAACTTGCTCTTATAGACCATACTGGCCTCGAACTCACAAGATTCACCTGCCTCTGCCTCCCAAGTGCTGGGACTAAAGGCTTGCGTCACACCCTACTCTTCCCATGCGTGCTGTGGCTAGGATCTACTCCGCTCTCTTCACCTGAGTGACTTCCTCCTGTCTTTGCTTTTCTGTTGCAGTTTTTGAGACAAACTATCAGTCTGTAGCCCAGGCTGGCCTCCCACGTGCTGACCCCTACTCTCAGGCCCGGCAGTCATCAACTCTCATACCCCAAGGAGTAACCAGGCTGGCAAATCACCCTGGGGCTCAGGGGACTCTCGAAGCCACCAACCTGAGGCCTGTGTTCTTCAGTACCTCGAAGATGTCCCTCAGGAGCGGGCAGCTCTGCCTGTGGCTCCTTTCCTTCTGCACCTGTAAGGACCAGACATGGGGACCAGATGGGACGGGACCGCAGCGTCCTTTTTTGTTTTATTATGTTTTCGTTGTTCGAGACAGGGTTTCTCTGTGTAGCCCTGGCTGATATAGAACTCGCTCTGTAGACCAGGCTGACCTCGAACTGCCTTGCCTCCCGAGTGCTGGGATTAAAGGTGTGCGCCACCACTGCCCAGCTAAAGCCCTACTGTCCCCTGAGTTCTTTAAAATAAGTGGCTTTAGCCAAGTGTGGAGACCACAATGTGAGGCAGGAAGATGTCAGGTTTCAGAGCAGCCTGGGTGTCCCAGTAAAATATTGTATTTAAAAAGTCAAAGAAACAAAAACATCAAGTCAGTGTAACAAAAAAGCCCCAAGCGGGACAAGGTGGCCCACCCTTTTAATTCCAGCACTGAGATAGGCACAGAAAGGTCAATCCAGCTACGCCGTGAGACTTTCTCCCAAAATACATGAAATGCTTCATTTGTCAAAGAGGCCGAGGGTGTCCCCAGGGCTACCTGAGACCCAAGCTGCAGGCCTCTGTCTTCCCCAGCCTGGGCTCTGCATACTGCCTGTTCTCCCTTCCCGCGCACCTCCTGCGTCCTCCTTAGCTGCTTGGAACTGCAAAGTGACACTTCCCCCTTCCTAGGACAAAGGCAAGGGGCAGCCGAGGTCAGCGCCCCACCCCTCAGAGACACCTGCCTTGGGGCTTTTCCCTGCCAAGGTTTCTGACAGCCTGCAAGCGCCTTCGAGGTCAAGTCTGGGGACTCTGACTTAATGCCCCTGATTCTTAGGAACCAGGATGCGAGGCTTCATGTCCCACGGTTAGGGGTGAGAGTAGGACACACAGGCTCAGGACTGCTCCGACCCGCTGCCTTGCTGGGTGACCTTGGGTAAGTACTAGCCTTCTCTGGACCTCCCAGCTACCCACTGCAGGGGGCTGACAGCCAGACAGTCAGAGGAAGTCCTGTGTGTCTGTCATCCCGAGGCTCCCACCCGCCACACACAGGGCCAGTGCCGGAGGAAGAGGCCACGGAGCGTCTCCAGGACGGCCTCGCTGGGTGACTGGCAGTCCCCAGCCTCACCCAGAGCTCAGCCCCGTCACCCCACTCCCGCTTCTGTCTGTAACTCACCAGCAGTCTCGGCCTCAGCTGCTGGAGCCCCTGCGTCCCAGCCGGGGAGCAAAAGCAAGTCAACAGCCGGCCAGACAAGGGCGTGAGAACTGAGACGCTGCGCGCGGCCGGAGCGCGGACCCCCGCCCCCTCCGGCCCGCTGGGGACGGCCGGGTGTCCCCCTCCGGGCGCCCAGCGCGCTCCCGCCACCCAGGACACTCCAAGGGCTGGGGCGACCTTAAAGCACGCAGTTTGCAGACGAGGGACGACAGGACAGGAGAGCCCCGGCCCTCACCTCAGTCGGGCGCTGCAGCCGTCGCCTCCCGCAGGGACGGCTCGTCAGGGAGTAGCGGAGCCCGAGAGCAGCGGGGACGGCGCCCGGGGGCAGGCGCGGGTCACCTGGAGACCCCCGCAGCTGGTGGCCCAGGCTGGAAGCTCGGGTCAGGAGCGGTGTGGGGTCTGAGTGGCCAGAGAGGCCGCGGGGGAAACTTCTGGGTCCCCGCGTCCGCCTGGGAGGCGCCGCCCACACAGCCGGGGTCCCCCCCCCTGCGCCCCTAACGGCGGAGGTCGGGGTGGCGGGGCCGTGAAGGTCAAACTACGCGGAGAGAACAAAGCGTCTCCTGGGGTCCGGAGTGCGCCAGGCGCCAGCACGCGGAGCCCGGCTGGGGAGAGGCCGGGGACCTCTGCGGCGATCCCGACCAGACCCCAGCCTCAGTTTCCCCGGCCCAGCTCCGGGGTGGCGCGGAGCTGAGATGCGGACCGCGGTCTGTGCCTTGCTTTGTCCTCTGAGTCGTTCCTCCTCCCCATACACCCTCGTAGCCCCTCCCTCCAGGCCCCACCCCTGAGCACCCACCCACCTTCTGCCACGGTCTGAGGCAGGGGGATTTCCTCCCGGGAGCCCTGAGATCTCTAAGGGCTTCCCTCATTTTTCGTTGCTGTTGTTTTGGCTTTTGTATTTTTTCCTTTCCTTTTCTCCCAAGTGTTGTAAAAATAGCCGTTCCCCTGTCGCGGGTGCCCGGCCCGCAGCTGCTCGTGAGCTGCGCGGCTCCGGGCGGCGGGGATTCCTCGGGCGGGCGGGAAGCGACGGGGACGGAGGACTCCCGCCGCTGAGTGGAGCCTTGCTACGATTCCCGCCTGGGGCTCGCCTCGTCGGTCACCTTCCTGTCCCGCACACCTCCCTCCCCCAGCCGGCGAGAGGCGACCCCAGTTCTCCCGGTGCCATTGTCTTCCCCCGGCCCCAGGGCGGCCCTGACCCCCCCAGCGCCCCTCGGGACTCAGCTCCGCCCTGCGCCCCCACCCGCCTCGCACGGCCTCAAGGTGACCGCCCCACGGGCGCCCGTGCCGGCCGGCTCGCTGGGGCTCTCCCGGCACACCCATCCTCCCTCCTTCGTGCCTTCTGCAGGCGTCCCCAGACTTGAGTGACCCGGTGGGGCTGCCCCGCCGCGGGAACAATGACGGCTGAGGGGGGCTGGGAGGAAGAAGATGGCAAAGGCGCAGGAGAGCGACAGGGGACTGTGCGTGCCGCCCTCCGCGCGCAGATGCGCCTGCCTGGGGCGTGGGGGGGGCGCGGCCCGGGCGGGGCCGGGGAGGGGGCGCGGGCTAACGGGGAGGGGAGATCCTGAGGCGCGCAGCACGGGGGAGACGCGCGTGGGGCGAGGCTGGGGACTCTTTCCAGCCTCCATGACGCGACAGGCGGGCGCCACCCTGCAGGCCCGCGGGACCAGGACGCCCGGCTCCGCTGCAGCAGCGCGCGGGCCCCTCGGTCCCGGTCCCTTCCCCGCGCGCAGGGAACCCCTGCTCCGCGGCACATGCGCGCTCCGGCTCGGCAGCCCCCCGCGCGGTTGCCATGGCGACCGCGAGGGCAGGAACGCGGGGAAGACCCCGCTGGCAGCCCGCCCCCGCCGCCCTCGCGGGGAGCGCCACTCTGGTTCGAGCCGGTTTCCCCGCACTGCGTGGGCGCGGCGGCGGCGGAGGATTCCCCCAGTCCCCGGGGACGCGCAGCGGATGGCGCATGCGCGCAGGGCACGTTCGACCCCCCCCACACACACACGGGGAAAGCCCAGGTGAGGGGGAACACACACACACTCCGCGCATGCGCGGCGCGTGAGAAGACCGGCTAGTCTCCTTGGCAACCACTGGAACTCCCCTCTCACCCCTGCGAGAGCGGGGATTCCCCGCTGCTAGCGCGCAGGCGCGGCCGGGATTCCGGGAGCTGCGGCTTTCCCAGAGAACAAAGGCCGCCTGCTCTCCCGGGTCCGCACCATCACTTTCATCCTGACACAGCGACTCTGTATTTGGCCCCGCAGGCCTAGAACTTGCAGTAATGCTCCTGCCTCAGACTGGCGAGGGCCACCACACCCTCGCCCGCGTGGCTCCGCTGCCGTGAGGGCGTCCCCCGCCCCGCCCCGCCCCAACCGCGCCGCCCTCCCCAGTCTCCAGCCCTGCTCCGCCGAGACTCTGGAAGCGGGGTGTGACGGCATCGTGGGAGCCCCGCAGTAGGGACGTAGAGGGCAGTTTAGGGCCAGCCTTGGTCAATCAGACCTTCAGCGTTTGTGTGTATGTTTGTCCGGGCACACGCATGGCTGTGTGACATCCGTGTGAGCCGCGTGTGTCCCTGGTGCCCCGGGAGAGCTCAGGTTCTCGGGCTCCAGGCACTGGAGTTACTGTTGTGAGCCGCCATGTGGGTGCTGGGATCGAACTCAGCCCTCAGCAAGGGCAGTAAGTGCTCTAACCTACTGAGCTAACTCTCTAGCTTCCTGCATTTTTTTTTTTGGCGAGGTCTCTGTAGCCCAGGTTGGCCTTGAACTCTTGGAAATCCTCCTGCTCCAGCCACCCGAGAGCACGGCCAGGATAATCTTGCCTAAGATCTTAGATGCAGCCCAGGTGGATGCGCACGCCTTTTTACGGAGAGCTACCGAGCCCAGTTTGTAGTTGAGGCACCAGAAGCCAAAAGCAAGGTGGGCGTTTAAGTCCCAGTAACTTTGCCACTGAGGGGTGGATACCGCCCAGGGGTGCAGGGGACAAGTGGCACCTTCCCTTTCCCTCCCTAACCCTCACCAAGGCTTGCCCAAGGCTTTTCCAGAGCTGTCACACCGTCCGGGGCTCACCCACACACCCTCCAGGGCTCACCCACACACCGTCCAGGGCCGCCCCTTGGTGAGCCGCCTTCCTCGTTCAGCCGTTGTGTGGCACTCCCTACCATAACCAATTTAGAATCTCGTAGCGCAAACTGGCACTGCAGCACCAGAGTCAAGATAACCGTGAACGCTGCCTTGAGTGCTGGGATGGCAGGCGTGCACCCCCACGCCCTGTTTAGGATTTCTGTTTTCCTATTCTGGGGCTGGAGCCCAGGGCTGCCAATCCTGTCCCTGACGATCCATTTTCCAGCTGTATCCATTTATCAACGCCCTCTCCCTTTCCTTTCACATGGTGTCAATGGTTTTCTGTCTTAATGGGGTGCAGAAAGCCTCACTTCATGAGACTAACATTCGATCAAAACCAAGCCCCTGGCCGGGCGTTAGTGGCGCACACCTTTAACACCAGCACTCGGGAGGCAGAGGCAGGAGGAACTCTGTGAGTTTGAGGCCAGCCTGGTCTACAGAGCGAGTTCCAGGACAGCTTCCAAAACAATAGAGAAATCCTGTCTTGAAAAAACAAAAGAAAACAAAACAAAACCCCAGCCCCCTTCATCAAAGCCCGGGGAGACACTTTTGGGGACCTCAATCCTTTTTGGCACACGAAACTGACAGGTCTTGGGGTGACACACTTGCTATGCAGGGAGAATCCAAGAGAAACCCGGGCTGAGAAAAGAGCAGGTGGCAGTGATGACCGTGCCTGAGTGGGTGCCGGCACCGCAGGACCTAACGCACCGCACCGTCCCCCTGGGGCCAGGAGCACAGCAGTTCAATGCCACCTCCGCAGCCCTGGAGTTCCAACCATTCAGGAGTGATGCTGACTGACGACCGTGTCTGCCCAACACACTTCCCATCCAACCATTTTCAGAGAGGGAAGTCAGCCTTTCACACACTGGCATGCAGTCCGCACTGTCTACACAGGCTTGGTGCAGCCGGAGAAAGCAGTTCTGGGTTCTAATCTCTTCCCCCTCGTGGCCAATCCCTCCACCTGTCCGCCTCAGCTGCCCCAGTGCCCTCATTCCCTGCCGGTCAGCCGGGAGAAGCCTGCCTCAGACCCCGGGCTCTGGCTCCCCCTGCTGCTGTCCTGGGGGCGAGCAGGTCTGGACCAGTGGTTGGTTCGGACATGGTCATCACACAGCCCCTCGCTTCCCCAGCGGTCCCCACCACACATGTGGACACGGCCTCAGGCAGCCTCTCCACAGCCTTTATTGGGCAGCTGCTCAGCCGGGCTCCATAGGGCGCCCGAGGCTGGGTGTCGCTCAGAGCGGGCACCCTCTGGATTGCCCAGGGTAACCGATGGTGCAGCCAGGAGGGCCCCAGGCCGGCCTGGCTGGGGGAGGACGCTGGAGCTGGACAGGCTGGACTCGGGCTCCCTCCATCACTTGGGCGCGTTGAAGGGCAACACGCGCTGGTTCATGGGGTTGTCCGGGGAGCGCAGCCACTCTTTCTTCAACAGCTGCTTCAGCTGCGACAGCCGCATGTTGGGGTTCTCCTGCTTCAGCCGCGGCAGCTGTACCTCCTCGAACGCGGTGAAGGCTGCGCGCATACGGCGCTCGGGGTGCCGGTCTGCGTCCTCTGCCACACTGTGGGGCCAGGAGTCAGTGCCCAGCGCCCAAGCCTAGGCCCCGCCCATGCCTGCACAGGCCCCGCCCCATCCATGCCTCCTGCCGCAGGCCCCGCCCACCTGAGCACGGCTATGGCATCCTCTACAGTGCGCGCTTCCAGGCTGCCCTCCTCCTGCACGCGCCGGTTCAGGTTCTCCTCCAGCGGCAGCTCCAGGTGGGTCTTGGCCTTCTCCGCTGCAGAGGGACAGGGGCGGGATGTGAGCACGCGGCAGGGTGCCAAGCCCTTGGGGATGCGCCACCCTTGGCCCAGTGCACACCTGGCTCGGCACGCTGCTCTCTGCGCAGGGAGTCCTCAATCTGCGCGCGCGTGACCTTGGGGGGTGCCACACGAGGGGCCTTGCCACCCTTGAGCCGTGAGCCCTCCTCCTCCAGCAGGCGCTGCGTCTCCTTCTTGCGCTCCAACTGCTCCAGGCGTCGCTTCTCCTTCTCCTCCTATGGCAGCAACAGGGTCACCGCGGGAGGCCACATCTAGAAGCCACCTGAGGCCCAAGGGTGGCACCCAAGTGGGTGCTGATCCCTCTCCAGGGCACCCTTGTGCAGCTGGACCCCAAACGTTGGGCAGGAGAGCCTGTCTGGGTTCGCAGTCAAAGGTATTTGAGGGCAACTACTGAAGTCTGCCTCAGTTTCTCCCTAAGCGAGAGGCAGCAGCATCCTGAGGCTGCCATGCCCTCAGCCAGGTCCCTCCACAGGTTCTGAAGACCCGGTCTTGGATCTCTTCCGTCCCGAGAGCAGAGGGCCTGGGCCCAACTGTGTGCCCGTAGATCCCAGCCCCAAAGAAGGAACAGTTCCTGGAAAGTTCCGAGAGCCCGGGATCAAGTGGTCATCAGTACTGAGCAAGACACACTAGGAACTGGTGGCCATGGGTGGTGTGAGCTGGAGGAAGCCGCGGCAGGAGTGGCTGAGCGCAGTCCAGCCTGCGTCGCGGAGACCTGGCCCACAAACCCCGAAGGCAAAAGACACTGGTACTGGCATTTCACCAACCCAGCTGGTTAAACCTGCAGA